TTTTAGGAGTCATTACTCCTGTTTGATCTTCCTCGTCAGAAATGCGGGGCTGACGAAAGTTTTCATGTGGCTTCGTCCTTACGCCATGTGGCTCTGGGCACAAGTGCCGAACTCCGTTGTCACTGCAGGGGGAGCACATTGAATTGAATTGGACCAGTCGAATTGGTTTCCTGTGGCTCACGGATGGCTCAGGTACGGACAGAGAGGGAGGGGCCATGCACACTTCCCTTTGAAGCCCTTCCGGAAAGAATTATTTTAAGCAAAGCAGGGGTGCTTTGTCTTGATTGTCAGCTGGGGGCAGAAAATGATTAATCAGGACCCAAAGACGTCTGTTTCAGTGTAGCAAGGTCTTTCGCTCCAGCCTCCGACGTGCTTTGAAGAGGTATCTTATTGGTTTTTGAGGAATTTATGTATGTCTGCTTCATGCATTGACATTGGGGTAAAAAAGAACGGCCTTTTCATTTAAACGCGACCTTTTGAAACAGAAAAAGTGGTGTCAGCTCAAGACAATAAGTAAATAAATCTTGTGGGAACCCGAAACCACTCTTTTCAGTGAGAACTTCAATGGACCACAGCCTGGCTTTCTCCCTCCATACAGATGATGACGTTTTAAGTCAATCCAGACTCGAAGTCCCCCCCCCCGGGCCCGGCGGAGCCTGCTTCGCCTCACCCTCGCGGGCTAATAGCTCAGGACGCTGGAGAGCAGGAGGTCGCTGGTGCCTCCGTACATCTCCAGTGCCATTGCCTCAGTTTGCATGGATGTATTTTGGGGGGGGGGGTGGATAGCTAACCAGCCATCACTGACCTCCACAGTCTGCATGTGCTGTTTTCTACCCATTGGTGGATTTGGGGGGGGGGGTCATCATTAATCACCAAAGCCTGCAGAAAGATGATATTGAGAATTTTTTTGGGGGATTGGGGGAGGGTGTTGAGACAGCTTGCTTTCGTGAGGTAGCTTACTTGTTCATTGACTGATTTGTGATGCAAGGCATGCTGGGATGCCTGATCAAGGATGCAGTGTGCACCATACTAGTGTTTAGTCCCACCCTTCAGTGTGCTAGAGAGGAGGTGCAGCCGTCTGAATGAATGAAGCTTCTAAAGCATCACCAACCCTAGAGCTGGTGTCTGAAAATCAATTGTGATGGACAAAGTTTGTATTCATATCTTTGTGGGGACAAACCCTAATCCCAACTATGACAACCTTAATCCCTGTCCAGCCCTAACTTTAACCATAAGTAACCAAACAAAAAAGACTTTTGACATTTTTAGTTTTTCGATTGCATTCACATATTTTTCATAAAATTGAGTTTCCCTTTGTGGGGACTGAAAAAATGGTCCCCACATTATCAGAATAACAGGATTTTATCACATTGTGGAGACATTTTATCCCCCAATGTAATGTATACACACACACACACACACACACACACACACACACAAATACAGTACTTCTGCTTTTATTGCGTGTTTTACATCCCATGCTCCTGACTGCCGTGACACTCTGTAGGACATGTGGGTGTTGAAAATGAATGGATGGATTTTACATTCCGTCTTATGGAATAAATGTGACCTTTTGAGAACATGTGGCTTCACACACATCTTCAGAAGTCCGTGGATTGTGGCCGCGCCGCATTTCCCAGTACCGTGCCCCATGGTGCCGGAATGAGGAGTTTGGCCGCTGAAGGGCATGTGTCACCGCTGAAGTTACTGCTGTGAGGGTCGCGGATGTTCCCTGGGGGCAGCGTGAATGGAGGCCGTGCATTTCAGTTGTGTTCTGCATGTTGGTGCGTCTCTCTCTCTCTCTCTCTCTTTCTCTCTCTCTCTCGGAACTCGCAGGATGGCGAATCCAGCTGTGTGTTGTGGGCTTTCTGGGCCTGACGGATCGCATGACCCCGCGGGCCCCCAGCTGCGTGTTTGCGCGCGGGGGTGTGCACCTGCCCTGCCCTGCCCTGCGCCCAGCCGTGCCCGCGGACCTGCGGCTTTAGCGCCTCCGTCTCCCACGTGTTTCCCTGGCCGCTGCCCCATTTTCGGTGGGAGATACAGCTGTCGGGGGGAGGGGGGAGGGGGGGCACGCAGGGGGGTTTGATGGACCTGTGCGCTCAACCTTAAGGCCACATTTCATAAATAACTCAGGCCCCTTTCACGTTTTACTGCCTTGACCCCCCCCCCCTCTGATCGCTTATGGAGGATCTCTCAGAATGTCATACCCAGATACGCAGAGTGGACTGTTTTTAACTCTCATAAAAAAGACAATAGTAGTAGTATAGTAATAGTAAAGTAATAGTAATAATAATGATGATAGTTATTACTGTCATTATTGTATTTCAAAGCTTTAAAATGTTCAAACATAAAGATTTGAAATGCTTCTTTGACATTACGTCTCGAGTTACATTCAGGAAAATGTGTAAGACCACCTGTATCCCGGGTGCAGCTGTGTCTGCTGTTAGTGATGATGGTTAAAAGCCGGAAATTATGCATTGCTTGGTTATTACTTCATACGCCAAGTACATATCAAGGCCCAGGTCTTTAATTGGGTCTTGTGTTCTGTTGTCTACTGACAGTTTAAAGCAAGTTATTCAAATGCCTCCCCAGCCATTGGATTTATTTATTCAGCTGATACGTCTGTTGGCAGCCGCATACCAGCGAGGATCAGAAAGCGGAGTCATCTGTGTCCCCAGGGCAGCAGGGGTTAAGAGTTTCGCTCAAGGGCCCAGTGGTGATATGATATGATTACTTTGCCGGCCACAGGATTTGAACCCACGACCTACTGGAGAATTCTAACCTACTGAGCTACACACTGCCACCGACGTCACAGCTGTTTGGCTGACCTGCGCAGGGCCTGTGGAGGGAGTGGCAGTGAAGGCCGGCCCTCCGTATCGGTCTGGCCTGAGGGCACGCGTTCTCTCTCCAGGCTGCAGTGTCGGGTGATCTCTCCGCGGTGCTGGGAACAGGAAATGGGAAACGGGAAACCCAGTGCAGGCGAGTCGCCCCACCTTTCTCACCCAGCCATGGTCCCCATATTGTATTTCGTGGGGACCCGGAGGGTGGGGGGGGGTTGTCCCTCTGCTGCGGTGGGGTTGGTATCACTTCAAACGCAGCAGCCACCGGCTGCATGCATGTGATCGAGGAACTATGAGCGACTGGCCCTGGGTGGGTGGGTGGGTGCTGTTGGCCCAGATGTCTCCTGGTAACCTAACCGGCGGCTGCTGTCAAGTGTCTCGGGCATCGGCAGCACATGCTGCTGGTTCCAGGTGTGGGGGGGGGTCCACGGGCCGGTGCTCCGGGAGCCCCATGTGGCAGCAGGTGAAATGGCACTGGGCAGGTTTGATTGGACCCGGGGGGGTGGGGGGGATCAAATGCTGTGCAGGAAACAGAATGAGGGCTACATTTCTACATTACAGTTCAGGTTAATGTCACCCCTCCCTTCTTCGTACAGATTGTTGGTTGGGGTTTAATACAGCCGACCGGGCCTCTTTGATGAAAGCTGCTACTTTGGCAGCATACTGCTGAGGCATCTGGCGTTTTGTGTCTTGTCGAGCCTCAGGGCTGTCGAGCCTCAGGGCCGTCCTTGAACACGTCCGTAACATTCATCAGCGAAAAAACAAAAAGAGAGAAATATTCAACCTGCCCTGATTTCCTGTGCCTTCAAACGGCTTTCCTGGAGTGAGTCCAGGGCCCGTTTCCAGAATAACGGCCTGGAGCCCTCTTCTCGGATGCTTGGTGTTTAAGGCTCTTTGGCTTGGCTTGATAACTTTACTAATTCAGCACTATTATCTTTGGCTAATTAGCATTTTGCATGTCACTGTCACAGACCCTCCCCAGCATGCAGCCGTCTGTGGCCTGAAAGTGTGCAATGAATGCTGGGGGATTTAAACAGCTCTACCTGGGTCAGCTAGCAGGCCGGGCGGCTGATGTCCCGGCAGACAGTGGGATCCGCTGACCCCTGCTGTAACAGCCCTGTATTACGGGGGGGGGAACTTCCAGCATGCCCGGTACCACTAACCTATTTGGTCACACCACCGGTGCGATGAGCTCAGTGATATAATTTTCAGGGCTTTGTCCTTCCTTCAGGTGACAGTCCCTGCTTGTCACACGTGTAACTGTCATGAAGCCACCTTACCTGAGGTTGCAGATCTCAGCGCAGTGGGGATCTGGTTGTTTAAAACCTGCAGGGACGAGCCTCGCACCAACGCAGCGGCGGCCGGTTGCGATTAGCGCGTTGAGTCACCCAAATTCCGATGGACCCCGCTTGCATGATCGATGGGCCTGTGTGCCGCTTCTCCGGCTGTCGTCGGCCCCTCCGTTTGAAGTAGCAGTTTCCTGTCGCTGGGCGTTTAGCAGTAGGCAGCCAACCTCCGGGGCGTGCCGGTGGACGCCGTCCAGGCCCCGAGAGCTAGCACAGAAAAATGTGATCAAATAAAGAGGAGCTTGGCTCTGCCTCGCCATATAAGTAGAGTCTTGTGTATAGGGTGCTTATCTGATATGTGGTAGTAAGCATGTCTCATGCAACTAGCATCAGGACAGGCGTGCAGAGTCGGCAGTGGACCACATGTGCATCTGCTGAGGATGTTCGGACTGTTCGGGAATCAAAGCGATAGTTTGCACTGGCCCGACTCCCCTGAGTCTGTTTGATAACACAGCACAGTGCCCCTTACAGGTCACACAGGGTAACAGCTTTATCTCATTTAAAACCTGCAGCAGTGCCTGAAGTCCCCTAGTCCACACTGTCACCGTTCTCAGAGGCATCTTGTACAGCATTCATCAGAGCTAGCGGGGTGTATCTCTGTTCCTCTCCCTCCCTTTCTCTTCGTCCATCTCTCTTTCCCTCTATTCTTCTGTGATAGACGTATCGAAGATCCCTCCAGAGCACCTGGCACCAGCCAGCCTTCACGTCCACGGCCTAGCGGGTCACTCTGCCTGTCCGCTCGACAAAGCAGTGGTTGATTTTAATTTTTTTTTCCGCTTTCCTCTCTCTTTTTTTCCATTCTCTAATTTATTAGGTGCGAAGTCGCCGAGCTGGTCGCCGACCCTGGAGGGCTCCGTGCAGAACGTGGAGCTGAAGTACTGCAGCCGGCCGGCAGTGAGGTGCGCTGCCGGGACCGTGGGAGCCGTGAAAGTCTGCGCCAGGACCCCAGGTGTGTGCAGCTGCGGCCTGTTAAACTTTTACAGCCTGCGCTGGGGAACTGGTCTCACTCTTTACAGCCCCCCCCCCCCCCCAACCCGCATATCGTAACGGCTGTTGTCACAGGGATTATTGCCGTCCTCTTCGTGAGCGTGTTGGGTAGATGGGGCTGTTTTAAAGTCAGTATGGTTTCTCCATCTCTTCCGTCAGAGCCCACAGGTGAAGGCAGGCTGTGATAGTTGGTCTCTTCAAATGGCGTAAAACATGGACGAGGACACTGTTTGTCAGATTAACTGGCCAGTAGCTGCTCTCCATCGTCATGATGTCATATCTGCATGTGCTGCTTTTCACGAGTGTCTCTGGGAGACCTGAGGTTCAGCTGGGCAGAACCCTGTGAGCACTATGAGAAAAACACACTTCTTCCCCCCCCCCCCGTTGCCTGTAAAAGTGGTACAGCTTAGGCCTGCGGCACCATCTTGGGCTCGGTATTGGGGGCAGGTGACCACTTGTTAGACTCTATTTTTTTTTTCAGTTTTTAAAACATATACAAAGCACAAATACAGCAGGGAGAACGCAGACAAGAATACATCGGAAACTGGAACATATAATGAAATATTTGCCACACAATACTCATTATCCAGAGGTGAGTGGCATTGTCACCTGTTCAGTTGTTACTGCCCAGTACTGTTTCCACCAGTAGATGGGAAAATATGACAAAATGGATGAGTGTGTAAATGGGATGGGAAGCCTTACGTGTCCTGCATTTATTCACCGCTGCGTCGCACGTGCCACCCCCACCTTTACGGTGCCCTGACTCTGTCCTGTCGCCGCCAGGGGAGGGTGCCAAGGAGAAGCTGGTGCCTCTTATCCAGGGCCCGTCAGACACCAGAGAGCTTCACACGAGCCGCTGGCTGAACGAGATCCGCAAACCCGAGTCCCTGCTGGCCCCAGATCTGCTGGCTTTCTCCGCACAGGTGCCCCAGCTGGGGGACGACTGCCGCAACTCCGGTAAGACGGCCGGGGAGTTGGCCTGCACGGGCGTTACTAAGGGGACGGCTCCTTTTGGTGTGTATGAGCAAACCAATAATGCCATAACCTGCTTGACGATAACCAGCATGGTATACAAAGCAGAGACATAGACGTCAGCAAGCTGAGGGCGCGGTTTCTTTGATGGCCCAAACGATCTCAAGGTCCATTCGATCTTCAGTCGTCCATGTAAATTCGAGTTGCATATAAGGCGTTGTGTCCTACTCCAGTTCTGATGATACTACACTGGAAGGTGCTGAGATCCAAAAGCCGTTATAGTGCTGGGCCTGGAGTCAGCTTTTGGTTTTGGGCCCTGGGATGCCTGAGGCTCTTCATATGCTGACTCATGGCTGACCGCTTATATTGTTAGCTAGGTGATAAATTAATTATCTCGTGAGTTTCTGATTTCGCTTGGGAAAGCATTGCAAAAATGTTTGGCAGTGCTGTGGCTCTCCCCTGTTTGTTTAATGCGCCCGGATGCAACCCAATGGGCGAAGTAAAAGCACAGCAAGGCGCCGTAAATGGGAGAATATTCCGGCGCTAGCGGCCTTTTGGGCCATTCGCTCATGTTCACGTGTACATGCTTCCTTCGATTACCTCTGAAAGGTCAGTGCGTGGATGTGGAAATGATTGGTCTCCACTACCAGAAAATTACGGTAAAAGTATCTCTTCTGTGCATTGGTGCTGGGCTATAAAAATCCAGGATCTACGGGCCGCAGCCTGGAAATGTGCTGGAGGAGGAATGAATCAGTTCCCATTGATGATATTGTAATATTTAACGGCGCGCTGCGTGGGTTTTAAGGGAACCTTGCATGCTTGCATGTGATACGGAACGGCCTTCACAAGCCAGGAGAATTCTGGCGCTGAACCGCACCCGTTCCTCAGTGGACCGAGGGGCTGTAAATGCAGCCGTTTGGTTTTTTTACCGAGTCGGATGGGAAAAATGGAAGCCGGGTGACGGGAGCGTGAGGACGAGCTGACAGTCCCCGGAAGTCTGGAGCAGATGTGGAGAGGCTAAGGAGATGCCCTGGTTATCCCCCTTCATGATGTCATGGTGGGGCGATGGGCTGACGACTGTCAAGTGCGGGCCTCCCACAGTGAGTGATCTTGTAATGGGGGGGGGCTCCCCCGACCTGGGGATCTTAATCAAATGGGACCTTACCGAGTGAGCGTTCGACGCGTTCGCCGTATTGATGCCCCACCCCCCTTTCAGCTCCACGGTACCCGTCACTCTGCGGCAGGGAAGGTGCCGGCTAATGAGATCCATCCCGCATCGTGGCGACACCTTGGGCAGGGTGTTCTGTCAGTGGTCCGGGGGGCTGGCCTGGCCACAACAGGGACATACTTTTCCTGTTCCACGTCTGAGTGATCGGACCCTGCATCTGTGCGCTGAAATGTCCGCGCGGCGTTTGGTCGGATGATGGACGGAGTCCGGTGTATCTGAAGACGTGGGCTTGCTGACCGCGGCTCGTTGACGGCAGCTTGCTGACCGCCTCTATGCAGCGCGCAGCTCCCGTGGGGCTCGCCCGCGGTATCGGGACCCCGTAAATCATCGCAACCCTTGGCTCTGACATCAGACGAAGTTTTATTTTCCCACAAGGCTTTGGGGTTTACTCAGCTGCTTTAAAGACATGATTACTACACATTTATTGCAAGAATTAAATGTTAGGCTACTAGGCAACAATTCTTCCATACATTTTTTGTATCTTATTCTGTAATTAGGGTTTTTCACGTGCGATTGCTTCCTCCAAACAACCGAGGATGCGATCTGAGAATGTGTCTCTTTTTTTTTTAATGACGTCGTGTCAGCGAAGCAGGACGGAGCTCCTATTCATCTCCTGGCTGCTCTTATCCCAGCTCATCTGACTCATATATTTATGTCTTTTTTTTGGACGGATATTACAGATGAATCCTCCTGCAGTCAGATTTTCCCAAAAACGCCGCTGGTTTAACCTTGATTTAAAAAGAGGGTAAGTGTGTAATCTGAGCGAAATATGCATCAGAAATTCGGGAATGCCTGGCTTACGTTGCTTTGATTGGATCTATGGAGGATTTTTACACAAACCTCAAAGTACTATTCAGACTGTAAAGTTTAATTGCCCTTAAATTACCATAAATAATTCAGTGTGTAATCCAGTTTTTAAAGCGTCCCTGACACGCGTCGTAATCCCTCTCGCAAGGTTTCGCTGTGAGAATAAGCAACCTCTTGAGCTTCACCACCTACATCTGTTTTGCGTCTAATTGTTTACCAGTGAATTAAAAGGAATTCCAATTTACTGAGAAAATGGGAATGAAAACTCATATGGATCCAAACCAATCTGTTTTCATTTAATGGAGCTGAGGTTGGAGCACACTAATAAATTAAACACAATTAAAGGCGCTGGACTTATCACAAAAAGGGCCAAGTTTTGAGGGGGGTGGGCGATGCTTATTAATGCTGTTTGCTGTGAAGCATTTCCAGTGCAGTGTGATGGTGCCCAATCGCTGTTCCTGTCACTGAAGCTCCCTCAAACTGCTTAGATCCCTTCATTCCTCGTCTATTGTTATTAATCTATGAATTTTTTTTGCAGCTGGGAAAGACTGAACCACGGTTCACAGGCTGAGAATTGCAGGCTTTTTATCACTCAGCGACCAGCGGGAAGTCGCTGACGGGGGGGGGGGGGGTGTCACATCTGGGCTTGCCCTGTGGTTAAAGTGACGCGAGTGTGACCAAATCGGGGGGGTGGATTGTGTTTAAGCAGTTTTGGGGAGCGGAGATGCAGTGAAGCTCCACAGGCTTTTGAACCCCTGAGGCTCACTTAGGGGGGAACATGCAGGTGTCCCCCCCCCACTTTTTGCCGCCTACCCCCATGTGTCTCTGGGGGGCATTATGACGCTGGGTCACAGGGAACCAGAATGCATGTGTTTCCCCCAGGCCCGCCAGCAGCTGCCAGACAGTGATTTATGCTTTTCTCAGAACTGTGGGATTCCAAAATGTTACATTTAATCAGATGCACAAAAAGCAGAACAAATGTTAAAGATGTTCCACATAAAGCAAGGGGTTTGATCTCTTTACCATGCCGCTCACGCTGTGGGAATAAGGAAGCAAAGGGGCCATCTTTAATCTTAATTTAAACGTATTGAGAAGGATTATGAAAGCAACAAGGAATTAATCCTCTGAGAACGCCGTGCCATGATACTAAACATATTTAGCTCCCTAATTGCTTTTAAACCTGTGTTCTTGGATTATTGGCCCTTCGTGAGACAGATGGTGAAGAAAACATCTCATTTCAGCCGCCTCACGCACCAAGTGGTGGGGCTTATAAGGGTCCAGTAGCACAAGTGCCTGCGCATGCAGCCTGGATAGGGGCTGTAGGCCGTAAAGGAAGCATGTAAGTGTGTGTGGGTGCCGGTCAGGTAGGGGCTGGGCGAGGGGAGACAGCCTTAAGGAGCGCAGCCTTTGGAGGGCGGGGCCTGATGGGTGGGGCCTGATGGTGGGCGGGGCCTGATGGGCGGGGCCTGCATAGGGAGCGGTACATTCGCAAACAGGGAAGGAAACCTTATACTTGCATTTTATTCTGACTATAGAGGTAAGGAGCAGGCGCTGACAGAGCGTTGCTGCACCCACCACACGATGAAGCACCTCAGGGATGAGAACACAAGTGTAGTCATGTGGCGGATGATACCTCAGTATCACACTAGTATAGTTTTGACTGTACTGTTTTAATAAAAACTGTTTTAATCTCACATGTGACTTTGATTGAAAATTAAACATTTAGCCTACGTGCTATTCTGCCTAAAAATATCAGGATAGGGGTTTTCATCCATATTCACCCATAAGCACCACCTCCTGGCCCAAAAACTAGATCACATAAAAGTAAACAGTGGTCATAGTTTGGGACAAATTGGCCCTTTATGCAAACGAATGGCTCTGGGCTTAATCTCTCACAACGTCCCTGACAGCGTGGCCGGGTATCGGAAGTATTTACCAACATCTAGGACACGTTTCCAAGACAGACCTTGACCGGCTGGGTGCACATGTTCTTTCTCCACAGACCCGTCCTGTGGTCCTTTGGCCGTATCTGCTTTCGGCTCTTGTCTGTGGCTTAATAGAGTTCTCTCTGCTCATGGTGGGAGTAATTTGTCCTGGATCGACTCCTGTTGTCGCAAACTGCCGCCCTGATTGGTCATCCTCCCCAGAGTTTGGGCCCTTTTTGTGGGCTCGTCTTGACACTAAGCTTCTCCCAGAGGTCCAATTTACAGGCAAAAACCTGTCCTAGGGGATCCATGAATGGTTCTGTAATTGTTTAGAAGAACTCACTACGGGATCTTAAGATATACAAGTTTTAAAAGTTGATGTGAATAAGTGAGTGCATTGCATTGCATATTTATTCTTTTTTGATGCATATTCAGTTGTTTTCCACATGCATTTGAACAAAATTTATCTCAGTGGAACAAACGTTTGCTATTTGAACAAATCAGCAAACACCTCATCTCATCTCCATTAATTGCCAAGTATACTAATGAGTGCCATATAGCCTGTTTTCGTGGTAATGCGAAATGACCCAACTGAGCTTTTGAGCTGTGGTGAAGCTTAATTAACTGCAGGACGTGTTTGTGTTGCAGATCGTAAATCACGACCTGATAAGCAGCCAAAGGTGTTAAGCAGTTTAGGTAGGAGAGCCGTCATGTGACAGGGGCTCTGGGCTCTGAGCTTCCTCCTCCTCTCTCACTGGGGGGGGGCAGGAGAGTCTGCCGCCTCTTTGTCCCTGAAATGGTTAACTTGGAACGTGTGGTCAGCTACAGTCACACCGGCAGCAATATGCAGGTGTGTGTGTGTGTATGTGTGTGTGCGTGTGTGTGTGTGTGTGCCTCCAAGTGTCAGCAGGGGTCATTCCAGGTCACGAGCCGCTTCTCTTCTAAAGGATGGATGTAGGTCGACATGGTTGCTGAGATGATTACTCCCCTCGGAGACGAAATGCTGGTCTGCACTCATCCCTGCG